GTGCTGGAGCCTATCCCAGCCGTCTTTGGGCAGTAGGCGGCGGGCACTCTGAACCGGTTGCCAGCCAATCGCAAGGCACACAGAGACGAACAACCATCCGCGCTCACAATCACACCTAGGGGACAATTTAGAGTGTTCCATCAGACTGCCATCCATGTTTTTGGAACGTGGGAGGATACCGGAGTATCCGGAGAAAACCCACGCAACTACGGGGACAACATGCAAACTCCACACAGGAAGGTGCACTGTGAGGTTGATACGCGAACCACTAGACACCGGGCTGCCCTAATCACATTATTTGGAATTCAATTTGAAAAGTATCTTTAAAGTTACAGTGGATGTGCACTGCTACCACTAACAACATGGCTGGGAACGGAAGACATAAACACCGTGAGCGGAAACGTTTTCACTTTGTGTTCCACATTACGAGAGAGGAACGATCAGATTAGCTAACTAGCAAGGCTAATTGCTCCATTTTTACGCAGCCCGCTTATTTTCATACTCTCGGACCTGCGCAGACATACGAAGGGCGCGTTGTCTTGTCGGCCGGGCATTTCGCTGCTCCACAGAGCGTTGTAGCCCGACGACAGCAGAGGACGGGAGAGTCAACTCGTCGACTAATTGGTTAAACCCTTTGTGGGGATACATTTTTTTGATATCATGGATTCCAGTTTGCCTGACATACAGCCCTCGAGCAAGTAAAAAGTCTCGGTCGTAGCGGTTAATGCGCAAGTGGCTAATGTTGCCGCCCAACCTTTACTATGGCTGTGATCCGAGCAGCTCAAGCGGAAAATTGCATCGTCGTCCCTCCATTCCACTCCGGTGATTATTATACAAAACGGCAAAGGGTGTAAAAAGCGGCGACAGTAGTTCTACTGAGCTTTTAGACGAGCGGGCATCCAGGATATTCGTTGAATCAAGGGATAAGATGAAAAGCGACCCTTTGCTTCAATGGGCCCCATCAGCATCAGTCAGCCTTGAAAGGTTTGCGCTGAAGAGCGCTAAACTGTTTGGAGATTTCAAAGTGTCTCATCATGTTTTGGCAGAGATGGAGAGAGTGGCGGCAGATGGTCCGACTTGCCGGCTCTGTTCAATGACTCTTAAAAAAAAAAACAAAAAAAAAAAAAGACAGTTGGACCAGCTGAAATAGGCAACTATTTAATGATACACGCCGCATATGAAATGATGATCTCCCACTTGATTAGCATTTGGCTAATGCAGCGCATCTTCATTGTGTTTTTAATCGCCACTGGACATCTTGTGGTTTAGTGGCAGTGGGCGCCATTTGTTCCCTCGCTCAATTAAGTTGCTTCGGAGTTTGCACTCTGAGATTCTCCTCATTCCCCGGTGCTCCTGTAAAGCGCTCACAGTGGCGCGGTCGAATGAAGACGCGAAAGCACCCAAAAGGCTCGTATGTACTCTTATTGATGTTTTACAAAGAGTCTTGCGGATGCCAAATGAATTTGGGTCTGACACCAGCCGTTGCCGCATTTTTCAGTGACAACCCTGAGCAGGAAAGACAAGGCGCTAGCAAACATTAGCTTTGTACATTTCGGTAGTTGTTTCAGTGTCTGGTTTTGCGTCGAAGGTCGTCGCCAGAAGAATGAACAAAAAGTGGGAGAGCTACAAAACACGACATTAAAATTTCATCTTCGCCACAAAAAAAAAAAAAAAACATAAAAAAAACAACAACATTGTTTTCTTTGTTGGGGTTCCATTGCTGGCTGTTGAAAATATTACAAGCTCTTTATTTCAAAATGGGACTTTCCCTTCATTGAATATACATTTTAGACTCCTGTAATATTGCTGTTTTTTTCCAGATCGTCTTTTTTACTTGGGCCCAAATGTGTTTGATTTATTCGAGATCGTGACTGTCACGCCCCCCCCACCCCCTCCAAAAAAAATAGAACACAGTTGGCCAAGACAAATTTCCCATAAGCGACATTCAAATATTGTACGTTTGGCCCTATCCTAACAATCACACTTACCCGAATATAAGTGTTGTCACCTCAAAAACACTTTCTAACCATCACCATAATGACCACCAAAAATAATGCGCTATCGTCTAGTTGACCGAAATGTTCATCAAAAAGCAATTCATTAAAATTTCAAAATGATTGTACGCCAACGTAAGATTTCACACTTCATACCGAAATAAACAGTTTCAAAAGATGAACCACAGATGTCTTGTACTTAAAAGTTAAATATAACAGAACTCCACTTAACAAATGTAGTGAGCCGGATGAAAAAGTTCCGATGCGCGGTTGGAACATTTAATTCAGTGACTCATTTGCATAATACTCGAGGAAGACCGCAGAGGACTTTTTAGAATCACTGCCCGAGTATATTTTTCTTACAAATGAGACTGCACCACTTGTACTCCAAAAAGTCGTGATGTTAAAACGAGGATGCTTTGCATTGTCGCCCATGTCTTGCATTTGAAGAGGCCTTTTCTTCCCTGATCCGAATGCCTCATATTGCATACGGTTGTTTCTCGTATTTTGCGAACCATCTCAAATTATCAAAGCACCTTTCATTATATTTTCAAAATGTCCAACTCCAACCCCCAACAATAAACGTATGGTCGCCTCTCGGTCCCTGTTAATTAAATCCACCGTTCTACAGTATGTCAAAGGCTTTCCTCCTGAATGTGATATGAAATACGAAATATTCATCTCTGTAGTTGAGCTGTGTTTTTTTTTCCTCTCTCTCTCTTTTGTGTTCCAAATAAACCCCAATCTAGGTCAGCGAGAAATGCTGCATTTGTCGAGAGGGAGAGAGAAAGCAATTTGGGGAGGGCGGGCGGGGGGGGTGTTCCTCGATTAAAATATCTTTTCACAGGTACAGAATGTGTCCAATCATGTAACACAAAGCCCAAATAGTTAAGATGTTTTTTTGTTGGGTTTGTTTTGTGTGTGTGTAAATTTTAAATGAAATAAAAGCCCGTGCCTTGAGTCAGGACCTCCCTTCACACACATTTTTCTGATTTCGTTTGAAAGGATTTTTTCCCGAGAACGTGACATTCTCATTGGCGATTGAGGCTCTCCTTTCCCACATCACAAGGGCATCGCAGTTCGTAAACATACCGCAATCCATAAAGAACAATCGCTTTGAAGAATGTTGTAACAGCAGGGAGCACAAAAATTATGACATATTTACCATCGAATAGACATGACATGTGGAGTCCCTCAAGGATCAGTCCTTGGACCCCATTTTGTTCAACCTGATGCGACCCTTGGGTGAAATTCTTCAGAATGCCAATGTTGGTTACCATGGCTAGTGTTCATCTAATGTATCTGTGTCAGTGTCCTACAGTGACCGGCAGAACAATAGCGATGTAACAATAACGGCAATATTGCAATAATAAAACACTGAAATGGAAACCCGAGTTCCCTTATTCCCTTTACATTGTGCAGCTCATTCCGACATTTCTGCATGATGACGTTGTGTGCCGGTAACCGACCATTGCAGTTACAGTCCCCGGTATGTTGCTTCTATTTCATTTAAATATTGATTCTCCTCTAAACTATTGGTGTCTCTGCGGCAACTTTGGCTGCGAGGATCCCTCGCTTACCGAGCCGAACCATCAGCGTGCAAAAACAGAACTAAATGCAGAATTAATGACACGCACCTGCAGTGTAGCTACCCACCTGTAAATGATGCATGCGCTGTTTCGACAAGTGTCACAGTTCGCCGTGTCTTGTCCTGTTCGGTAGGTGAGCCTGCAGAAGAAGAGGAAAAAAAAAAAAAAAAAAAAAGATAAATGGCATTAATAGCTGTGGGCTACGGTCACCCTGCCAAATTTGTTCAGGTTGTTTCGATAATCTGAGCTGTTTATTCCTATCAGAGGGAGCTCGGATTTCCTTCATCAAGTGTGGAGACTTTACATGATGAAATTACCTGTGGTGCTCCGTAACATTGATAATGAGTGGCCTTTACATCCCTGGTGACACACGGGGATGTAATTCAGTGCAACATAAGTCACGTGGAATGGAAAGTGTGTATCATTTGTTTGGTTTTTTTTTTCCATTTTTTGATTGGCAGTCCAAAACTAAATTTAAAAAAAAGAAAAAGTGGCAGATTAATTTATTAGTCTTCCTTTTTTGCTATCTTTCAAAATGTGATTCACATCCCACTAATAGAACATGCGCTCCATCCAAGGTTGTTATAATGAACGAAAATATCTGAAACTAAAACTGTGAAAGACAATTTTTGTTGACGATATAAAAAAAAAAAATGAAAATGCTCAAAAGGGGGGAAAAAACTAAACCTGACATTTATAAAACTTCTCACAAAAGGCAAAAAAAAAAGAAAAAGTGGCAGATTAATTTATTCGTCTTCCTTTTTTGCGATCTTTCAAAATGTGATCCACATCCCACTAATAGAACATGGGCTCCATCCAAGGTTGTTATAATGAACGAAAATATCTGAAACTAAAACTGTGAAAGACAATTTTTGTTGACGATATAAAAAAAAAAAATGAAAATGCTCAAAAGGGGGGAAAAAACTAAACCTGACATTTATAAAACTTCTCACAAAAGGCAAGTCACTGGTATTTATTGCGAGACTGATCGTGGTCTACGCTAACGTAGTTTTGCGATTGTTCCCAAACTTCCTAAAACCGACCGTTTTAAGAGGGAAGCTCTATTTCCATCGCTGATTGACAACAAAACGTTCAAATTATTCTGTGGTGCACGATGACAGATGAGACCCGGATGAAGAGAAAGCGGCGTGACATTTTTTCCCACCCGCATTGACCCCGGACACCAGCTTGTTACCAAAATAAAACCAAACTTCACTTCAATAGACAGATTCAGCACATTCGGCACATGACTGGGCACCCGTTTCGAGCCGTTATTCAACTCATTTGCCGGACATGCGAGATAATCGGCGTGATAAATTCTCGCTTCTCTGCGGGGTAACGTCACCTCGGGGGTCCGGTTGCAGTCGCGTGCGAGAGCATTTGACAATCCTCCTGACAGTTGTACTGCGCCGCATTAAGCCACCGAAAACGCGAGTGTTATGCTTTGTGAACTTGTCTGTTTTCTCCCCCTCCTGCCCGCCGGAGTCGCAGGGAGGGGAGGGGGGTCGTGCCTAGCGAGCGTCCGTAATTGCCTCCTGTCACGGTCTCCCCTCGGCCCTGACAGATGAAATGCGGCGGGTTCCAACCTCGACGAGAGGTGACCTCCACGGAGGAACGCGAGAGGGACCGAGTGCAGCTGCTGATCGGCGCTCAAAGTCAGAGAGTTCATCCGTCCCGGCTCGGCCTGATCAGCAAAAGAGGCGACGGTAAACTCACCGATTGCGATACTTGAAGTCCACTTGTTATCTGCGGCGTCGTAATTGAAGGGGATTTTCGTCAGGTGATCGAAGCTCGCCGGCCTGAATTTATAAATCGCCGCGAGCAAATACAGTGGTACCTCTACTTATGAAATTGAATTGGTTCTGGAAGAAATGTTTTAAATGAGAGTTGTGCATAATGTAAAAAAACAAAGAATGGAGTAAAGAATAAATAATGCTCATTTAACTTTTAACTGCGTCCACGTCGATTTTTTTGCCCTTTTTAGTTCGTTTTCTCTCACCGCCAGAGGCGCGAATGACGAGGACGCTGCATAGACACCTATCTATCTGTTTATCTGTCAACAAGCGTAGACACATAAAGTAGAGATTCCTCTTAGCCAATGGGATGCTAGGAAGATGCTAGGTAATAGCCAATGACAGAGCAGCTATAACTATGTTGCGTTCAGGAAACTCGGAGCAGTGAGTTAACAGCCCATACTGTATTTTTACCTTTCGTATCTTGAAATTTCTTTCGTAACAAGAGGCAATATTTTCCTGTTGAGGCGTTTTGTAACTTGAACATTTCGTGGGGAATATGTCCGACGGCGCGGCTCCTCAGTCTGACTTGTGGTCCAGAGCGAGAGAGGAGAGAGAGGAAAACGGGTGGGGGTGGCGGTGCAAATAGAAAAGCTTCTCCTCTGAAAGTCATTCTCTAAGCTGACTGCTGGCGCAATTCCAATGTTGTGTTGTTTGCCCACGTCAGCTGTCCTGGGAGATGTCCTACCCTCTCGTCTGTTTCACTGTCCACACGCTAACAAAAAGCATTCCACCGCTAACCTCTGCGTCTGCCGGCGGAGGTGATGTGGCGAAAGCCTCACAGCAAGTGCGAACACACATTTTGGATTTGATTATGATGATGTGGTGGATGGCGTGCAGCTCGGGCCTTCAAGGCCTTCCTTGCAGGCAGCAAATGCTCTCAGAAGCACAGAATCTACATTTGAAACTTGACATGAAATGGAAATGATTTTATTTTGGCCTCATTTCATGGCATGCGTCATCCGTGGGTCAATTTATTTATTTATTCATTTATTTATTTTTGTCCAATCAGATTTCAGCGTCAATGCGTTGTCATGTCATGCACATATGTGGTCGAATGCTTTCAGAACCTAAAGAGCACATGTCGTTTTCCAACCAATCACCCCCCCCCCCAACATCCAAATAAATAATTTTATGCATTCCATTTTATGCATTCCGCCAACACAACAACTGACAAACACTTTGAAGTCCTGCCAAAATGTGTTTCCATTTCCCCGGCCACCATGATTAATGCAGCAAAACTTTTTTTTTTTTTTTTTTTGGTAGAAATTCCTCCTCCATTCTCAGGTTGCATCGCTTGAAGATTCATCAAACTTGCTTTCATCGTGTAACATTTGGGAGAGCGAATCATTAGTTCTGCTACCTTCTGGCAGGATAGCGCTCGCGCGTCCGACCTCTAATAAGCCACGCGCGGCGTAATAAGATAAAACTGCATTTTCATCTTCACTTGTCATGATTTTTGCGGTAAAGCTGGCGAGTTGGAAGGTTGCCTTTCCTCACATGTCATTTCGACGAGACACCACTCGAACCTTTCACGGTGTGTCTAGGCTAAAAAGAGTGCCTAAAAACAAACCACAACAAAACCAAAAAACTTTTTTTCCCCCCAAGGTAAAGTTGGGGAGGCGCATGTGGCAAGTAAGACTCAGTGTCGCGTGACCTCGCCTCCTCTCTAATCACCCTGATGGACGAGCATACTGTCTATTAAATGTAGCCTTCTTTTTTTTGAAAGTCGTAGGCTCTTCTTCTGTCTTCTGGCTCGGCCAAAGAAACTTTCCAAAAACGTTTGTTTTTTGACTCATTTTGCTCGCTCCTGGGTTTCATTTTTAGCGGTAACCTATCACGTGACTGAGAAGCGCGCCTTGACCTGCGTCAAGAGTGACATGCAGTAGACGGATGTAACAGAGAATCAGGTAATTTTTCAAAATAAAACGTCTCACAGATTCCGAATTGAATAAAAACGGAAGTAATGTAAGTTATTTATTCTTTCTGTGTGGCCCGATACCAAATGACCTGTGGACCGGTACCGGTCCGTGGCCCGGGGGTTGGGGACCGCTGGGTTAAAGCATTTTATTTGATTTTTTTTAAGAAAGGTACATCCCTTCATAGAACCTGATGATTTTGTGACAAACCAAATGATGGCGTGTACATTTATGCATGGCAGTTAAATAAGGTGAGCCTCGTTTTTCCACCCCGAGGGCGCCGCGTTACGTACCAATATTCTGCTTTGGCTTGGTGACGTGAATGACGTCCAATGGATGTGAGACAACAACCAAATAATCTTCCAACACGTTCCTCCCTTCTCCCCCGACTCAAGTTTGGAAAAGAGTCAGCTGGCATATTGAGTTGAGTGCGTATATTTCGCCCCTCGAACGCAACTGTGGAAAAGTCATTATTATTCCTTTCAGCCGAGTGGGATATTTGTTCATTGCCTGGCGTAAATTGCCAATATCAAGCAGAATTGTGTCGCTAAAGGGAATGAAACGAGGCCGGACTCAGTAGGATTCCTTAATCAGAACCAAACACACTGTAGGTATTGTGCAGTGGATCAAAAGCTTGTTCAAGCAATTTCTTGGCTTTTGTTCCTGGTGTTTTGGAAGACCGAACATGGCCCGGATGGAATTTTTGGGGGAGGGGGATGTCAACTCTTTGTTATTTGTGTGGCGGCACGGTGGTTAGCGCGTCCGCCTCACAGTGCAGAGGTGTAGGGTTCGAATCCAGGCTTGTGTGGAGTGTGCATGTTCTCCTCATCAGTTTTTTGAAAAGCGGTGTTGTTGGCATTTGTTGAATGTAACTATTAAAGTCATGTAACTTAGTTCCCGTGACAATTGAGTCATGAGTAACTGAACTAAATTATTTTTGAAGTCAACCCTCAAATAACCAAGTTACTTTGTCAAGGTAACACTGGCAATGCTGTTCGTAGCAATCCAAATCAGCTTTCTCCATTGAAATAAATGGAAATGCCGCTAATCCGTTGCCCCATGTTTTTAGTTGGGGCATTTGCAAGTCAAGGCAACACTGGACTTTGTTATCAAGGCGGCATATTGCCGGATTTTCTCTTCCTCTTCTGAGGTGACTGCTTTGAGGAATCTCAGGCAACAGTTTGCACTGCAATGAATTTAGGTGAATTTCCGTAGTGGACAGAGTGACACTGCTTGGCGTCAATTTTAGCTCAAAATAAAAATTCCTGTCAACCAGTTTTCAATAAATATGCCATTTATCCATCCGTTTATACATCAAATGACACTCACCCCTCTCGCTGGGCTTCGCCTTTCTCCAACTCCTGAATAACTCCAAGCAGGACCTTGATGGTCTCCTGGCTGGAGTTGATGAGCGTCTCCATCGCCTGCAGCTGTGCTTTGATATCCTTGTCATCAGATAAGGGAATTATCTGCTGGCCGCCGCCCACGCCTAGAGCAGCTCCGGTATTTCCCGGGGGGAAGCCCGCGCCCGTCCCCGGCGTCTGCTGCAGTTTAGAGGACGCCGACGTGTGCCTCGTCCGACACGGTCCTTCCGACTGCGCCGAACATTTGGCGCTGTGAGGGAGCGTCTGTGACTGCTGCTCGCTCGGCTGCGCTCCCTTTTTTCTTTTGCAAGCCTTGGAGGGGCTCCCTAAAGACTCCACTCGGGTCAAAGAATTCCACGCGACCGGGCCCCGGCCCTTCACGACGTCCGAGCTAGGCAGCTGACGCTTGGAGGAGGCGCCGGCATCGCTTTCCTCTCGGTGTAATCCTTTGTGTTTGGTCCTTGTGCCGCAGTCCTGGTGTTCCGGTTCACTTTTGGACGAAGGGTTGCTCAGACGGGAGTCTTGCGAGAAATGCGAGTCCGTACAAGAGGGTCCGTCCAAACAGTTGGCGTCGCAAATTAAATCCTCCGTCTCGCTGCTGTCGTCGGTGTGATGGAGCAACGCTTTTGTCTGCCCCACAATCTTACCCTTGTACTTGGAAGTCACCCCGATGGGTTGCCCGTCCTCTCCGACTGCTTTTATGTCACTCAAAAAGCCGTTATTTTGTCCTCTGTAATCTTCCACCAGGGCGGCGTGTTTAAACGTGTGGCCCTTTTTCCTCTCAAAGGGAAAAGTTTTGTATCGTTTGGTCAGGTCCGGCGATGTCTGCACGCCAGTGCTCCTGGTCACGTTTGGGATGGATCGTCTGGCGGGCATGGTCATGTACTGTCGGTGGGTCACTTTACAGGAAATGGATCTGGTGTGCTTCCCTCGAAACTCATTCTGCGCTTCGCAGATATCCTGAAATCGCACCTGCAAGGCCTTGTTTTTCTTCTTCACCTGCTGCTCGTCGAGGTTGTGCGCGAGGCCCGGGTCGGAATCGGAGTCATCGGAGTCTGACGCAACCATGCATTTGCCGTCCTCTTTGCTCACCATATTTCCTAAGAACGGATGACATAAAATGTGAGTATATTCCAGGGCTACGGCGCGGTAAAACATTTTGATTTGGTAGCGCAGATGCTGTGAAGGCTCAACCGAGTCAAAAACCATAAATCACGGCGCAAATGACACACAGCCATCAATAATAAAAATCGCAAGGCGGACGGGTGAGGAAATGTTATGAATGCAAATGTATGTGAAAGGGCTTCATCGCGAAGCAATCCTCAGCTATTCACGGAAAAACTCACCTATTCACAATTTTGTACTCTTTTCTGTAATAACAAAGACGCCACAAGATGGCACCGCCACTAATGGGAAAGTAGTACAGTCCAACCTCGTTACAAGGCACCTCGAGGGACATCGCGAATCTTTAATGACCTATCTGCCGTCATTTGCTGAAAAACATCGTAAGACGGTGGTAAATCCCTGTTAAATAATAAAGCAGTGCTTTTGGTCCCGATCCTGCTGCCAAGGAACTATGTCAAAGTGAGCGGAGGATTGTCTTTTCAACAGGCCATAGCACCGTCTAATAGGAAAGTAGTACTGGGGCACCATCTTGTGGCATTTATAGGCAATTCCGTGATTTACGTTCTTTTTTTTTTTTGTTCCTTGGTATCGATTGTAATTGGTGTGAAAATGAAGGCGGCCGCCGCATCTTGTACATTCTAAAAATAAAGAATTGTGGAAAACATTCTATTCTTAACCGAGTTACCAAAATAAATGGGATTTCATTCATAAACAAAGACTAACGCCAGAGATTAAAAATCCACTTCAAACATCGGGTCAGAAAATACCATCAGGAGTTTTTAACCCTTTCAGGGGACAGCGGTTACTACAGTGGACAGTTTGCGGTGCGTGAAAGGGTGAATGTCAGGCTGCTCACTTGAAGACAAACGCACCACTCTGTTTGGAACTTTGCCTCGCCAGCCATAAACCTCACCGCAAGTCACCGGTGCATTCCCGCTATCAACAGGGCTGAGTAGATATTACAGACCGCAATCTAGGACTATTCAAATGAGCTTTTTTTTTTTTCTTGCGGCAGAACAATTGTATAAATGGAATCGCCGTTTTGTGCCCACTGCGTTGTTTCTCTTCCATACAGCTGTGAGCGTGAAATCTCGCACTATCTGGCATTGATCTTCGCGGCCGCCTGAGCTCTCTGAGTGCTCCGACGGTTCACATTCAACGCGGTCCCTCTGTGTGCTTTGCTGCAAAGCAGTTTTATTGCCACTCCGCTAGATCTGCATGGGGACCCTCGCCCCCTCCTCTCCCCCCAATATAAATGCGGTACTGCCTCAATGGTAAAACACAAGCTCTCATATTTTTATTTAGTGGGTGTTTAGGGCTCAGTTAGTCTAGGGGCGGATGTCTTCTTACGCGACCAATCGGCGCATTAACATTTGTCCACACGGAGTATAATATCGGGTTGTTGCGTTCGGGAAAACACTCCAACTAATGCGTTTCTGTGACAGCGTGAGTTCATGTTATTTATATCATATCTGCAGATATGCTTCTATTCTCTGTCGTGCGCCACAGTAACCGTAAATTCTCTGTATTCGCCACCCTTTTTACGGTTACCCCCCTTTGTCTACGCCAGGGGTGCCCATTACGTCGATCGAGATCGACCGGTAGATCGCGGACTGGCCTCAAGTCGATCGCGAGGGGTGAAGAGGAGAAAAAAAACAAACAAACAGCCTTTTGTGTGTCTTTGTGCATGTTAGTAATATATTTTTTTTTTGCCTTAATGTACACTGCACCCTAATCGTCCTATCAGTCTCATTTTCACAAAAAGTATTAAAATAATAAAATAAAACAAAGCAGGTAAATCTTTAACCTACGGTGCCGCCTGACCTACGTCACCGGAAATTGTTAGCACTCAGCGGTCTGCAATTGCAGCTTGTGATTGGAGCTGTTGCGCTATATCTTTTATCGTTATTCTCATTCAGAGTTTGTTTCGTGTATAATTCACCGAGGGCACGGGCAAAGAATAGGAATTTAGAGGGCCGAGGGAAGCACTTTAAAACGGTACGTGTGAGCTACGATAGTTAACAGGCTGCAAAACTCCGTCGCATGCCTCCACGTCAGGGTGTTGCTCATCATGGCGTGCGTGTGTATGTGCGTGCGCGTGTGCGGTAACGAGTAAATTGCGGGAGGTTGGTTGATCGAAAAGTCGATCTTCGGTCCAAAAAGTTTGGGAACTGATCGCTACAGGCAATGTATGTCTGAGTAAAAAAATATTATGATAGCAGGGGAAAGACCAAACGTCTACATGAGTAGTGCGCTCGTCCGCCAGGGTCCACCTGTAGGCTGCGGAGTTCCTCAGGGCGACATCAGTGTCATCATGCAGTCTCAGCAGTATTGAGCAAAATGATGGAGCACCGTGCCAAATATAAACTCTGCGCTGGATGTTCACAAATCTGTCCGGTCTGACCTTCAACTTGAAAAGGCTACGGAGCATATCGTGATCCTTTTTAATGCAGTCCAAGTAAATAATTTTATGCCTGACTGGAAAGTAAACAAGTACGCACGCGATGACAGAATATCCGCAAACAGAATCAGAACCCATGTTTGCGCATCCATTTATTTCCTTTATGTAAACACGAGGAATATTTGTGCTTTAATTTGTCGTTGTTAGGGATGTTTAATGAGGTACCCGTTCAAAGTCATCCGGTTGTGTCTTTGCGTTTACATGTAATGAAGCTTAAAAGGCTTTGATCAAATTGACATTTGCAGTCCGACCATGTGTTGCTTGTTCACGGTCGTCACACGTGCGCGGTTCGGCGATGAATTATGAGCCTCCTCGGCGAACGTGAAGTCATACACGTTGAACTTTGAGGGAATTACATTCCGTACCACGCGGCCCAAAAAAAGCAGCGAGTTGAAAAGACACCAACTGATGGAAAGAGTGGTGGGAAGAATTTATTGCCATGTAATTCTCACGCAGCTCCTTTGAGAATAATCAAGTCAATCATTATAAAAGTAAATATGTTCAGGATTTCGGTGTAGTGGTGACTTTTAAACTGGACAGTATGTTTAACTGGTACAGTATTGACGCTGCATTCCCTGGAGGCTGTGTTTTTTTGTTGGGTTTTTTTGGGGGGGGAGCTGTCGTGATTTTACATGCGTGAAATTGACAAACGGCATCCAGTCAGTTTCTGCACCGATTGCCCTCACTAAGCTCATGGCGACTGGGGCCTAACCCCGCCGACTTTGGGACGGCGGCAGCTTATACTGTTACCGTACCAAACCAATCGCAGGGCGCAACACGGCACATTTGCAAGTTTCACAGCTTTGTTAGATCAATTAGACACTAACGAAAGGGTGTCGACACTGGGCAAAGGCTGCTGGAACAAGTGTAAAAATAGACCACGATTGATGTGTTGTTCATCTGTGGTTTTTATCTGTGGAAAAAAAAACAAAACAAAAAAACAAGGGATCAGTTAAGTGAAAACGTGATCTAAAATTTGACACATCAGAAGGAAGAGTGATATGACTAAACATGCCACATTTGAATGATTAAAAATGGAAAAATGCTACTTTGTTAGCATCATCTAGGAATATATCCCACAATGCTGTGACGAGAGGTGCTAGCTACCAGCTAGCTTACAAGCTAACGGGTTTCCGGGGCTTCCCTCGGCCTGGAGATGGGCAGTGAGCTTGTTTGTGATGTCACTATCTCGCTTGGTCTTTTAAATAATGACAGCAAGCAAGTTTTGGGAATTGTGGCATTTCCGGAAAGCTGCATTTAGCGGGTGAAGGTATAGTTAGCGAGCTAAATGGATATTGTAGTGGTAGAAATGGGCCAAGTGAAAAATACTCGTGACTCACAATTGGGCTGGATAACCACTGATACCAATGAAGGCATTACAATTCTTATACAGTGGGGCAGCGGATGCCCAACCGCGTCAATCGGCACCATGTTAGCCATGGCCAATTATAAATAAGGAAAAAATAAAATGGTGAAAAAAATGGTAACGTAAATGGTCTCTATTTTTACACTACACTTGATCTTCGCCATCATGACCGGTGTAAATCCTCAGGGAGGATGCTGGTAATTTTCGCAGATGAGTGCAGGTTCGCGGATCTTCAAGAGGGAGGGCTGCGCTGCTGTAGGAGTGGCCAGTTCTCAAGTCATAGCACATATTCAGCAGTTGTCTTTCAACATGGGTGGCCCGGTGGTCCAGTGGTTAGCGCGTCGACCTCACAGTGCAGAGGTCATGGGTTCGATTCCGGCTCCGGGCTCCCCTATCATGACCGGTGTAAATCCTCGGGGAGGATGCTGGTAATTTTCGCAGATGAGTGCAGGTTCGCGGATCTTCAAGAGGGAGGGCTCCGCTGCTGTAGGAGTGGCCAGGTCAACTGAGTTCTCAAGTCTTAGCACATATTCTCAGCAGTTGTCTTCCATCATGGGTGGCGCGGTGGTCCAGTGGTTAGCGCGACGACCTCACAGTGCAGAGGTCATGGGTTCGATTCCGGCTCCGGCCTCCCTGTGTGGAGTTTGCATGTTTTTCCCGTGCTTGCGTGGGTTTTCTCCGGGTACTCCGGTTTCCTCCCACATTCCAAAAACATGCGTGGCAGCCTGATGGAACACTAGAAATTGTCCCTAGGTGTGAGCGTGAGCGCAGATGGTTGTTCGTCTCCGTGTGCCCTGCGATTGGCTGGCAACCGGTTCAGGGTGTCCCCCCGCTTACTGCCCGAAGACAGCTGAAATAGGCTCTAGCAAGCCCCGCGACCCTTGTGAAGATAAAGCGGATCAGAAAATGGATGGATGGATCTTCCAACATGTGTAATGCATTTATCAACAAATCTCTGCATTCACTTTGTCTTCAAGGCCTTTGTAGGCAAGGCAGCTATTTATATCGCACTGTTTCATACACAAGGTCACACATTGTCATCACATATTTTATAAGCATTTACAAACAAAAGAGCCCTTCTTGGGTTGATATTCCATGATCATTTCTTGAAGCGTTGGGCAATTTATAAACCAGTAGCAGAATTTTGAAATGGATTCTACAATTGACCGGCAGCCAGTGTAAAGGAGACGATCCAATGAACTTTTACACACTGACAGAAGGCAAACGGCTCCCCCCCAAAGAATAAATTTTCCTGCAGCGCATATGCAGAGTGAACTGCTAAAAAAACGGCTGTTGATATTTGCTCGAGTTTATCTGATTGCCTCTGTGCCCCGTTGTCACCCTTCTGAATAAGAGCACTTTCATCTTAAGTGTCAGTCCTCGGGGGCCGCTGCCTCGCGTTTCACCTTGCAGACGGTCAACTGTGACCCAGCCTCCATTCAAACTGCGGTGGTGGACAGGGAATATATTTCGAGCCGACCGTGTTTCATCTTGCGGGCCGTAAGTCACCGCAATGGATTCGGTGCCCGGTGAGGATCATACCGCAGCGCTACTTGCTCATCCTGATTATGCACAAACAATATACTTTGCTGTCTTGTGAATTTACACAGTCTTGCTTTGAGAGCAAGAGCAGCTGGATTTTTTTTTTTTTTTTTTTTTTCTCGGGGTGGTCGGCATTTGTTCCAAAGCATTGCCTGACATGCACTTTGATTTCAGAGTAGGTTGCTTGTCAGAAGCAATTGCGGATGTACTGTTCTGTAGAATTCCACATGGGAGTCGACTGTTTTATTACCCCACCACCCCCCACCCCCAAAAAAAAAAATGCCAATCCCACACCACTTAAGAGGTAATCACGTTTGCAGAACGTTAGCTGTGAGCGCAAAAAGTGTCTCATGTAGCCATAAAAACCATGTAAAGCAGCCAAGTGGTAATCACACAAAAGGAGTTGGCGGGGTGTTGGGGGGGGTGGGGGGGATCTCTTCCTAACACGCTTAAGTACGAGATAAATCGCGAATCTCCTTTCTCCTCCTACTCCGCGTCTTGCTCCTCCTCCTTCTCCGGGGGCCAGCCACATCTCCGCTAATGACCCGAGGTCCTTCCCCTCGATTTGGCCGCAGCTATCCAAAGGATTATGAATAATGCATTGACTCCAAAATTGCAAAAGTAATCCTCTGAAATCTCCTTATGTGCGCTGGCAGAGCGCGTCGTCTGTTCCAATTGCCCCTCGCTCCTTCGTGCTCAAAATGTTACGTGGGTTAAAAATATATACCTTGCTCTATGGCGCAGTGATTGATTTATTATGACCGCGATGTTGTTCCGGAAGGAATTCCGACAGGGTGCGTTGCTATTTTCTATGCAATAGGAGTTGGGGGCTGGGGGGGGGACAAAACAAAAAACTGCTGATTCACCTTTTAGGCCAGCGGAGAGAATGAAGCAGCTTAGCGTGTATCATCTTACGTCGTCGTCCGCCTACATGGATATTTACATCGGATAACCCGGTCTAGCCTCATCTCATGACTTTTTAAGTCATGCTATGAGAGCATTTCAACCTACACTGGGACTTGCCACTGGACACGCTCGGGTGTTCTGTATTCATGATCTTGCAGGTTGAGCCTGCAAGTCGTGCATTGTGCGCTGCATGCAGTGCAGTCATTGTGCATGCAGAGGGTTTCCTCGCATATATTTCAGAGTGTGACATTGCACCAACGACGTCTTCACAAGTGCACCGTAAAGGACGAGCTCGAACACTCCGGAAGGTGTTGAATGCAATGTGTTTTTCATCATCATCATTTCGACAGATTGTGTGCAGATTTGTGAGATTTTTATCTCTTATCCTTGAAATGTGTTAGGTGTGGTTTTTTTTATCCTCCCTCTGCCCAGATTCTAGTTGACGTTGACAATAGTAAATATTAACCCTTTTTAGGCACAGCGGTTACGACAGTGGACACGTTATCGTGTTATCAGGTTACAGGGTGCGTGAAAGGGTTACATTTGTCCTGTACTTACAATCACATATCCAAAATTGTGTGGTCGACTTGGATTGTGAAATGGAACGATAACCAACCAGGAAGCCACCTCAAGTTTATGCTGATGTCGGATGTAAATAGTCTATATAATAAATGTTATAGATGAAGGGCCATAAGTATCTTCAAAAAAAAAAAAAAACTACCATTGAGAAAACGTGTTGTTTATTTATGGAGCAATTATTCAGTAGAGATGGCAAGGTGTGAATCCATTCGTTGCGTTTAAAAATATACTACGACTAAAACGTATAAATATGAAAAACTGCACTGAATTTATTATTCCAGGGTCTTTAGGTTTCGTTGCGTGATAACATTAACTTTAATGTCTTTGCATTTTCCCTGTTCTTTGTTTTTCATAGCGTGTCGCCTGAATAACGTGTCTGCATGTCACGCTCATATCTCTAATGAATCTACAAAGTATATGGACAACCTACTACTGCATTAAAACATAAACTGATTGAAAACAGAATAGGTATTGCTGATCTTTATTTTATTGATTATTTTTTTTTACATTTTTGCGTCATCTTTGTGATGTGTTTCTATTTTCAGTCAATCAATCGATTAATCCAATCAACCCAATCGAGGAGCATCTGGTTGTGTTGAGCAGCGTTTCCCCAAATTTACTGAGCCAGAGCATTCGTTTCCCGGGAGGAAAATCTCACAGCACAACGTCCAAGAAAGATGTTCATAAAAGGTATGAATAATGAAATAACTTTTGATCTGATCTCACCGTACTCACAAATTGATTTAATGTGAAATCTGGGGCCTGTTCAGACGAACACAAAGTTATCATTTCTGTTTTGTGAATGGCAACAGGTGGACTCAGATTGTTGCTTGAGTGTACTTGCTGCCATCTAATGAAGGAGCATTTCATTGTTCTGCCTGCCACTACACATCGCTGGCATAAATAGATGAAAAGATCAATACTGTAGTTGATTGAGAAAGAATCATTTTTAGGAAGCATGAAGTGAAATTTGCGCCGTATGGTCGGGAAAATACGTTTTTCTGTGGATCTGGCAGCAGAATACAGTAGTGTCACTCTTCTTTGTCTTTTCTGGTGTTCTGTGGCAACACACTGCCCCTCACAGGTTAGTCTTGGTAGTTCGGCAGACATCTGGTTTGGGGGAAAGACTGAGATAGCTTTGGGGCGGGGATATGATTTTGTGTTTCCTGATTTTTGTCATCTCGAGAACATCACAAGCAAACTTTGAATATTGTTTCAGATATTACAAAAAGGTTTGTGCATAGCCCACTTTCAATGGACCTCGCGTCAGCAAATCACACGAGCCGCCGGCATTAAAGGAAGCACGGATTCTCGAAAGAGACGTCCAACTTCGTCGAAAGCGGAAAGACTCTTGCGCTGTCCACATACTTTTGTCTCATGTTGCCCAGCGTGTCAGTGTCGTGCCAGTCACAGATGATGGCCGAATTTTAATTTGCCAAGTCTCGATAGGACGTCCACCTATTGATCGGCGGTACCGATCAGCTTTTTGTGACCAAAGTACTTTGATATTTGTTTGCCAAGAAGGAGCCGTGGGACAAGATGTAGAAGTCGACTCCTACGTTAGCTTCTATGCTAGCTGCCGACTGGCTAGCTGCCATCTGCGTTTCACTTGTGATCAAAAGGCACGGTTGATGTTTGTGTTGTATATTACGCAAGCGGTAGGTTTGACCGTTAAAATATGTCGATTGGCGTTTATCGCATTTTATCATCTGTCCTGAACATTTAGAGCGTGTTTAAAGAGTGTTTGATTGTTTCTAATGTATTATGAAATGGATGAAGGCTTTGCGCTTGAGCGACACTTAATCACGTTAAATTGTTCCAACGTTGCCTCGACAGTAAATAAAAGTTTTTATGATGGTGACAGTTGGGACTCTCTCACGAATGACTCAAAATCAGGTTTCATTAAGCAAATGTCGTTTTGAAAAGTCAACCGGTGGGGAGGTCGGCCGGTGTGACACAAGAAGATTGCGTTCGACCGCTGTGAAAGTTGGCGCTCTCACGTTGTTTTGGACGATTGATCAAAGTCTGACTACAGTCAGCGTTTGGAATCCACAACATCCGTTTGTCAAATTAAAGTCAGGCGGGGCGAGTTCGTGAGGACACATTTGGGGATTAAACCCAATTTTGCGGATGCCTTTTAATGTTTGTCGTGTCTCTCACACCCACACGCTTTCGCCTCACCCTGATGAATCCGTCGAGCCGGGAAGGTTGGGCTGCGAGCACGCAACCTGATGATGGAGTGCGATGCGTATCTGGATTTATGTAACAAGTGAAAAAGAAACTGCTGAGGTCGGCAAGTGCTGCGGTTGGCGCCTTGAAGCTCTGCCCTGAGTGATTCCCATCATTCCAGGTAAGCAATGACGTGGCGAGACCGGTTGAAAGTGTGACTGTATACGTGACGCGGTACCCTTGAGCATCCCGGATTATCGCTCGTAATATTCCTGAAACCAAGGCGCTTTATATCCGCCTTGAGGACCGCATCATCCGTTCCGTATAAATGTGTCACGAAGCTTGTAAAAGCGGCCGTCTTCCCTCGTGAAGGACAGGCCTTCCTGTGGTCAATTATCCGACGCGACTCATGAACCCTCATTCGTATTTTCTGTCCTCCCACAGGTACGACGTACTTGAGGATGTCGTGCAATTTAAAGCCGCACGCATAGGTCAACCACATTGCGTGTGAAAGAACTGTCAATCAGTAAGGGAGAGGACATTTGCACCGATTCTGGAGGCAGAAATTCCCCCTCCCAATCTCGCAGGCAGAGACCACCCGTTCACACGCAACGCCGGCGGGGGACGGTATTTTATGAGAATTTATTGCTCAGTTATGACAGCCGCATAAGTTGTTACCGGGCGTCCGCTCGGATTGAAATATGTGCAATTGGGGAAGGGGCGGAGGGGAGGGAGGATTGACAACTCTTACCTTGAGACACAGATCAGAGGTGCAAAGGACAAGCGAGCGCCTCTCCCCCGTGTCCATCCGCGCGTTCGTCGGGCGCCGCGCTTGTGTCCAGCCAGAAAGGCAGCCGGTGCGGTGACAGCTGGAAGAGTTGTGGCACATCCGGCAGGCATGTTTCGGTTAGGAGAGCGCATTAAAACAGAGCAGAAAATAACCTCTGCTATTTCTCCGACTTTCTCCTTCACATATCCGCGACTGACACTCTTGCTCCGGCACTCACCGGTTACGGGCGCTCACAGCGGAGATCTCCATCTCGGGGTGCTGCTGCTGCTGCTGCTGATGATGATGCTGATGCTGCCGCTGCTGCAATCCCTGTGCATTCATGACTGAGTGCGAGTGTGTATGTGCGAGGGAGGAAGGTAGGGAGAGGGTGGGCTGGCGGGTGGGGAGGAGGAGGAATGAGGAGGAGTGGAGGGGGATGGCATGAAAGCTGTTGGGGAGAGTCCGCTCGGCGGTCCGCATCGCTGGTGAAGACCCCCTTAACTTGTCCTCCACAGACTGGATGATTTGACACTGAGCTGTTATGTAATCCGAATGGGGCTTGGGAAAGCGGCGGCGGAGGAGGAGGAGGAGGGGGGGG